AACCGTGACACGGGTGGCATCTGTATAGGACAGTTTCCATCGTTTGAGAATAGACATGATAGTTGACTTATTTCCCCTCCTCTTGAGGAAAAAAAATATTACAATGTTTGCTCTGGGTTTCATATTTCCAGATGGATCATCAAAATAAGGGTTCCTATTTATTGTCCTATGTGCTCATCCCTGGATAGCTATCTTTTTTTGTACGTATGCAATTTCAGGTTTATTTATGTGGTGAGCTATGGTCTCAGCCAGTCATTGAAGCTCGCCTTTCTCACCGCGGTTCTTTTCCATAACTACATTTTCACTTACCGTTGGTAAGTCTGACATAGTAGAGAAATGGCAAAACATATTTTGTAAAGTAAGCTTATATAAGCAATGCAAACAACAACTTGTAAACAAAGTGTGCACCGGAAGAAATGGGCTTGTGCATGCTCTCGCACAAGTTTAAGAGGCGTTCCCTCTCGGGTGCAGGTACAGGGTTATGCATGTGCAGTTTTTCTTAAAGTGGAGAGGGTGGGTCTTTTCAAAAATTAGGGAAAATTCTCCCCTATACCTTTAAGGTCATCCCTTCAAAATTCTTCATACATACAGTAGCTTTTTATGGGCGAATTTTTAATTTGATATTCACATGTAGGAAGACAACATTCTGATTATGAAAATTACCCGTTTCAGAACAGTCATGCATGAGAAAGGATCATATTTGCATAGGTCAAAGGCACAGACTGTGAGAGTGAAGTATGTTATAATTTAGAGTATCCATTAATTAGTTTTTATACAATTATGGTAACAACATACATGCTTTGGAAATCAGCAAAGGCACATTAAGCATTTTAAAAGGTGTTTCCAGTCATGTGACCTCTATCTCATCTGGCTTTCATTTACTATCGAGGTATGCATCAGTAGTCTAAGTGTATTTACTCTGATAGTTCTGTCACAATGGAATTATGTGAGGTTGTAAATACAGTGAGCAGCCAGAGGATCATGGCTGTTCATCATTGTGTGGAGGGTCTGGAAGAGAACTGCAAACGGATTTACTTTATGGTCCATTCCAAAACCCATTGAAATGATGATTATAAAATACTGTCATTATTTTGTATGATCGTCAACATGATTTGTGTTTTAACATTGAGGTTACAATGGCATAGAGATGGTGCACTGAGACAAGAGAGTAATATGACAATATAGTTTTATGTGACACTGTATTATATACAGTACAGGAGTGTTTGTTGTTTTGAGGTGGAGTGAGAATTGCTATTCTCACTGTTAATTACCCTGACCATCTTGTGGAATGAAAGTGACCGTATACAGATTTAAAAGTATAACCAATATTATATTTTCCTTTTTACGTCCATACCTTATGAAAATACTGTCATGGCCAAATTCTATCTTGAATTATTACTAATGTAACTTGTTGATATTCTTGAATGAAATCACAGCAATAGAATATTTTTTTTGGAACTTAATGTATAATCCTGTCCCCCCCACACTCATGCACACACACAAACAGAACAAAAGCAATAAAAATGATGCCATGATCATTGTTAATGTTCATATTTTCTCTAGAACAACAACATAAACAAAATAAAAAGAATCTTATATTTTTGTGCTGTCTTTATTTTAGACATATGATCATTAGGAAAATAATGACTACTATTATATTTTTTCACCCTTAGGAAAATAATGATAACTTGGTTATTTTGGCAACACTTAGTTTTCTTTGTGATAAATTATTATAATACATTAGGTATATTTGTCAAGGTTCAGAACAGAGGACCCAGTTTTCAAAGCGAAAGTTTGATATCTCACAAAATGGTAAATAAACAGATCTGCGGTGAAATGAGAGGGCATCTAAATTCTGGCATATACTGTGAAATTGAGTTCTTTCTGTAAAATTGTAAGACCAAAGTAGCCAAGTTTGCTCCGCCATGTCTTTGTCCAAATATGTTGTTGCCTTTTCTTTTTAGGGCCTTTAGCACTCAAAATTGCACAAATTGTCAAGGTAGCGCGTGTCTCTCTAGTGAGGTTCAGATTCCTCTTCTACTTGTTTGGCTTCCGGATAGATGAGTCAGAGTACGACATGGTTTTAGACTTACAGTGTGAGAAGGTAGATCACATCAGAGCGTCCGGTCACACAGTCTGAGAACATGCATCTTGAGCTATGAACTCACACTGTACGACAAAACCCTGCGATTTCGTCATATAATCTGGTCCTGGTGACTGGTTTAAGGGCTAACTACAGAAGCAGGTGGATCAAATAAATGGTAATGAGAAACTGGGTAGAGCTAGGGAGGTGAATGAAATGAGTAATCAGGCCAGTCATCAGTGCCAAGATCATAACAGAACCTCCCCAATCCCCCCCAAGTGCGGATTCTAAACACCCTCTTGGGCTGGTCAGGATGATCACTATGAACATTTTTATTTCTTGCCCAAGATTACCCTGGCAGGAATCCAGGTTTCTTTACTCTGGCATGTACCACCCCCTGTGTCCACAAAGTACTAGATCCCTCTACCTCCCCTCCTGGCTCTCAGGAGGTGATTGGCCATGTACACAGGCTCCCTGTCAATGTGTTGGGTGGGTGGTGGGGGTCTTCTTGCCCTCCTATTCAGGTGATGGAACTCTCCTGCAGTTAGTACCCTTGGCTTTACTCTCCAAAGAGTTACTTATACTGTAGCTCTCCTAGCCCTTCTACAGGCTCGCTGGCACTTCAGAGAAGATAACCAGGCTGATGGAATTTTAGACTCCTTCGCCTGGATGGTGAACACCAGTGGTCCTCTGTACCACTGGAACATTCCTTATTTGCCTCAAACACCGTGGACAGTGCATCAGGTTTAACATTCTTGGTCCTGGGTCTTGTGGGACTGAAGAAGATTGAAGAAGCCTTATTCTCAGTCATCTGACAAAGCCCTCAGCCATGAATTCTGTATCTGCACCACAGTCCACAAATGCAGACAGGTTATGGCTTGTGGAATTAACTGACAGAATTACTGGAAGCAAAAGATCTAGGGAGACAGAAAGTCTGGTCCAGCTCATCAGCGTTCCCCTCCCCCTACTGCGCCTGTCCTTTTACTACACAAGATCTCACCCGGTGTCCCTCCTTGCCCCAGTAGCAGCACAGATTCAGCCTGTGGCTTTGATACTTCTCCACACTGAAGAGACTTGTGCATCCCAGTTGCGTCGGTTCAGGACTGGGTGTTTGAGGCAGACCAGGCACCACCACAGGTGTAACAGGAGTGGGAGGAATAGCTGGGTGAGGGTTCACTGCTGTTTGAGTTCTCAGTTCTCTGCGACATTTGAAGAGACATAGATAAATGTTTCTGAGTCTCAGGGTAGACACAGGTGGAAAGTTCATCTTTTATCTTCTTGTTTAGCCCAGTACTAAATACGTTCTTCAGGGCTTCCTCATTCAAGGAACTCTCTTGAGTAAGAAAAGCCCGACATTGCATGGGATTACACTTAATCACTACAGGGGGTCACTGCTCAGAGAGTCCCAGACGTTGAAGACCAGGAGGTGGATGAACAGGTAGGAGATCAGAATAGAGCAGACAAACGAAGACAGGACAATCCAGAGAGGGAAGCCAAAGCTGGTGTTGAGGTGCTCAGGAGTCCAAGCCAAAAGATCAGAGATCCCAAGAGGTACCAAAGGGACAGCGTTAGGAATTAGTTTGAAGTTTGGTAAACAGTTGGAATCCAGCAGGAGTCCAAAGACAGGTCAGGCAAACAGATCAGAATGAAAACAGGCAGTCTTAGGGTTCCAGAAGTAGAACGGGTCAGGATCAGCTAATCAGAAAACATTTAGATATGCTAAAAAAACTCATCAAGTGCTCAAACAATCTGGCCTTGATGACTGGGTTGAGGGCTGGTTAAATAGAGACAGAAGGAGGTGGATCAGATGAACGGTAAAGAGAAAGTAAGCGGAGATAGGCAGGTGAATGAAATGAGTAATGAGGGCAGTCAACAGCACCAAGATCATTACAATATTTTTCCAGACTACTGCCTAGAGGCTTTTACCATGAAGCAAACACAACATAGAGGGATTACTCCCAACCTATCCATTTTATCCAATTCACAATGGAAATATGGATTAGTGGTTACACAAAGCTGGTTATCGACTTGCTAACTCAATCCAGCTTTGAGTGATGATGAACCTGTGAATGCACACGTGCAAAGGTGTGGGTTCAGAAAGAACAAAAACTCATACAAACAATTAAGAAGAGGGTAAAAATAGTCTCACTGAAAATTCAAACACAGTAATGAAATCAAAAAGACACCAGATACCGTGGCAAAGGATTGTTGACTGTGCGCAATTTAGACATCAGTAACATTGAATACAGTTATGCATCCCAATCACTACTGCATATTATATATGTCTCATCACTCAGGTGTAACCCTTTGGGAGTGAAAATGATTTGGGAGCAGATAAAAATAAAACACAAAACATTTAATATTTAAATTTGACATTTTCTTTCAATAATGTGTGTCAGAAAGCTCAGAACATAAGACTCAGAATTCAGGTGAGACAGAAAGTGATATACTCAAATGAGAGTTTATCAAAATATCATGTGGTTGCTCATCTGCTGCGGCAGGCTCACTGGAAAATCTGCAGGAATAGAGGCTCAGGTCAGTGACTCAAGCAATGGATGATAATTAGTATGAAAGTTACCAACCAAAGTTCAGTCTATGCCTGGAAGGAGGAGTGTTGTCCAGAGAAGCGGAACTCCTTTGGTTTTCCTGAGCCGGCACCACAGATCCAGGAGAGAAGAGCATGTAGTGGAACCGAAAGATCCAGGAGGGTAATCCAAGCTGTGGTCAGGAGACAGGTCCAAGGTCCACAGCAGGCAGAATCCAGGTAACAGTCAAGAAAGCACAGAACAAGCAAACAGAGAAAGGGGGTTGATCGAAAACTCCGAAGAAAACAGATCAGGAACCGGCAGAACTAACACAGGGAATGCTAGAGTTAGTCTCACTCAGAAGCTTAAATAACCTGGCACCAAAGGTAGGGGTTCTGTCCTGTCCTCTTCACACGCCTTGCATGAATTGACAGGTAGATAAACTCCATCCCCAATCACCACACGGACAAAGAGGCTCTAGTTCACTTCTTTAGTGCAGTAACTGGCAGTAGGGTAAAACTGACAACAAAGAAAAACATACAGTTACAAACTGTCAATATTAACATTGTGAGTGAGGTTAAACTTATCACAAATTATACAAAATAATACACAAAGTATCCAATTGAGACCCAGATGTACAACAAATGAGAAAACTGTATTTAAATTAACTCCAAACTGTATCTTTAAACATAGAAACAGGCTACTGGTAAGTATATTGCTAAATACAACATATCTCCATGCAAATTCACTCAATTCCAGAGCTAGCTAGAACATGTGCTCAATGAATTTTCTATCTGTGCATTTATCTACTCAATGTCTCTGCTTAGCAACAATTCACATATATATTGATAAATTATAAACTTAAGTATTGCTTTAACATACCGACGGTGCTTTCAAAGACTTGAACGGCTGGATGATGTCCGATAAAACAAAGGCATGAACTTGCCCTCTGCTCTGACATGGAAGACTGGCTAGACACTCACTGATGACATCATCAACTAGAGACTCAGACTACCTGAATTAAACCACTGGTATACAAACTGAACAGCAGGGGGTGCTATTGTGAAAATGAAAGTAACTGGTTGATAAGGCAGCACACTCCCCGCCTGGTATCCCAAGATACCACAATGTATAACTAAAGAGTGGCGCCAGAATGATGAGAGCACCTGTTCCTAGGCCTCAGGAGAGAACAGCAAGACCACCTCCGTCACGGGCCGAAGAAACAGCTTCATTCCATCCCGTCCATTGATTTTCACCTCCACCTTACGGACCCTCCCATCCTTGCTGGGGAAAACCTGAGTTATTACCCCCAAAGGCCAGTCATTCCTGTTGGACTGACAATCCCTCATGAGCACTACGGATCCTGGTGTGATGTTCGGCCTACTAGATGCCCATTTCCTTCGTGACTGCAGGGTAGACAGGTACTGTTTCCGCCATCTGTCCCAGAATGTATTGGCAAGGCTTTGCACTTGCCGCCACTGTCGCCTGTACATATCCTTGTCATCAAACTTGCCTGGAGGAATAGGATGAGGGTTACTTTTCTGTGTAAGCAATGTGGCAGGTGTGAGGATGAATGGATCTTGTGCATCCATTGACACTGGTACTAGCGGTCTATTATTCACAATAGCCATCACCTCAGCCATAAAGGTGGTGAGAACCTCGTGAGTAAGTCTAGAAGGCCTTGACTGGAGAAGCATGGAGTCGAGGATTCTGCGGGTAATGCCGATCATTCTCTCCCATGCCCCTCCCATGTGGGAGGAATGAGGTGGATTAAATGTCCATGTACAACCCTTTTCTGAAAGGTACCTCCTCACCACATTATTGTCAATATTGGAGGAGATTCCTAGATCCTTGCAAGCTCCAATGAAATTCGTTCCTCGATCAGAACGGATTTGCTTGACTGGCCCACGGACAGCCAGAAACCTTCTCAGGGCGTTTATAAAACTTGAGCTATCCATGGACTCTATGACCTCAAGATGGATTGCTCTGGTGCTTAAGCAGGTGAAAAGGACCGCCCATCTTTTATCGTCCGCATAGCCACCTCTAGTACGCCGTGCTGAGATGGTCCAGGGTCCAAATGCATCAATGCCAACGTTCGTAAAAGGTGGTTCCATGCTGAGTCTATCAGGCGGTAAATCTGCCATTTTCTGAACTGCACAGGTCCCACGAAGCTTGCGACATGTGATGCACTTAAAGATTAAACTGCTGACACACCTTTTTGCACCCACAATCCAATAGCCAGCTGAGCGGACCGCGCCTTCAGTAAATTGGCGTCCCTGGTGTTGTGTTTCCACGTGGTGATGTTTCACAAGGAGAGATGCAACATGATGCATCCCAGGAATGATCAGGGGCCTTTTCTCTTCATATCCCAACTGTGATGCCTGGATGCGTCCTCCGACTCTTAACAGGCCATCCTCATCAATGAATGGGTCCAGCATCCTCAAAGGACTGTTCTTGGGAATTTCTCTTTGGGTCCTGATACATTCCATTTCCTCCGCATAAGTTTCCTGCTGCACAGATCGAATGATGGCGTTCCTGCTCTGAATGAGTTCCTCCACTGTGTATGGTCTTCCACAGTGATGCCATCCCTTACAGCTCCATGTAGAATCATCTGAGGTCTTCTTGAAGAGGCATACAATATGTCTAAGACAAGATAGTGCACGACTAAGTGCTCCCCATGTCGAAAAACGCTCAAAGCGTTGAGATCCAAGTTGACCGTCATGGGTGGTGGAAGCCAGCACTGTCACTTGTGTGCGAATGTCTTTATCTTGTTCTGGGTCCACTAGTTCAAAGACATCTGTCCTGGTGGTAGTTTTCTCTGGTTGAGAAATGAACATGGGTCCTGTGAGCCAGGTGGTGTCTTTCAGGCGGGCTGCTGGGACAGACCTTGTGGCATGGTCTGCAGGGTTACGTTCTGTGGACACATAATGCCATTGTTGGGGCTGTGTGCTCCTCCTGATCCTCTGGATTCGATTGGTGACATAAACGTAGAATCTGCGCTTGTCATTATAAATGTAGCCCAGAACTACCTTGCTGTCCGTATAGAAAGTGACAGCATCACACTTTATGTCGATCTCAGCTGCAATGATCTCTGCCATCTCCACAGCCATCACTGCTGCGCACAACTCTAGCCGAGGTATAGTCTGTTCTGGACGTGGGGCCAACCTTGCCTTACCTAATACAAAGCCTATGTGGCAGTTTCCTTCTGCATCCGTGATTCTTAGATAGGCAACTGCAGCTATTGCCTTGTCTGAAGCATCCGCAAAGACACAGAGTTCTTTGCGCTGCGCATCTGATGGAGACACTCTTGTATATGGCCTTGGAATCTTCAGGTTCTGAAGCTCCTTCAGTGATTCTCTCCACTTATCCCAGAGCTCTTTCTTGTCTGAAGGTAATGGAGCATCCCAGTCACTTGTCTCCATTGAGAGTTCTCTTAGCAAAGCCTTGCCTTGTATAGTGACAGGTGCCACGAATCCTAGCGGGTCGTACAAGCTGTTCACTGTTGACAAAACACCCCGACGAGTAAAAGGCTTCTTTTCCTCTTCCACCTTGAACAGGAAAGTGTCTGTCTTCAAGTCCCAGCAGAGTCCAAGACTGCGTTGTATCGGTAGAGAGTCGACTCCAAGATCCAGATCCTTAAGGTCACTGGCATGATCCTCCACGGGAAATGCCTCCATTACCTCCCTGCTGTTTGAGGCTATTTTATGTAACCTCAGGTTGGAGCAAGCCAGCATGCTCTGTGTTCTCTTAAGCAAGTCAATTGCAGCCCCTGTTGTGGGTAAGGACTTCAGCCCATCGTCAACATAAAAATCTCTTTCAACAAAGTGCCTTGCATCCTTGCCAAACTCTCTCTCCCCCTCTTCAGCAGCTCGTCTGAGACAATGAATGGCAACAGCCGGTGACGGACTATTACCGAAGACATGCACTTTCATGCGATACTCTGTGATGTCATTTTCCAAGATATTGTCTCTATACCAGAGAAATCGCAAGAAATTTCTGTCATCAGGCCTGACGACAAAACAATGAAACATTTGTTGTATGTCCCCTGTGATAGCAATGGAATCCTTCCGAAAGCGGATTAGTACACCAAGAAGACTGTTGTTGAGGTCCGGGCCAGTCAGGAGAACCTGATTCAGTGAGACTCCTTTGTGTTGAGCACTTGAATCAAAGACCACCCGAATCTGGCCTGGTTTCTTTGGATGATAGACTCCAAAGCTAGGAAGGAACCAGCATTCCTCATCCTTTTCCAGTGGAGGAGCCTCTTCAGCATGGCCATTTTGGAATATCTTTTCCATGAATGACATGAAATGATCCTTCATCTCAGGCTTCTTGTTAAAGGAGCGGCGGAGTGAGGATAAACGATCTACTGCTTGTGATCTGTTGTTAGGAAGGCGAGGACGTGGCTGTCTGAAGGGCAAAGGAGCTACCCAGCTATTGTCCTCGTCTTTATAGACTCCTTGTTCCATGGACTTCAGGAAGAGCAAATCCTCTACTGATGGGCCGATCTTGTCATCCTCTCTTGTCTGTTGAAAGACATCGTAGCCTAGGTCCCCTCCACAGCCCTCAGATGTGGGACCCTCCACATAGACAGGTGTAGCCTTGCTGCCATACCACTTTTCCTTCACGACATAGCGGTTAGGGCATGGTCCAAACACAGAGTGACGACCATTTTCCAGAGTGTTGGTGTAGTAGGTGCTTACGGTGGTTGGCTTGTGGACATTTCCCAGACATATGTTGCCAACGATTACCCATCCCAAGTCTAGTTTTTGAGCATAAGGTGAGTTATGTGGCCCATTTATCTGTCTTCTTACTTTGTGGATCCTTATTATGTCTCTGCCAAGTAAAACCATAATAGGAGCCTGAGGGTCGAGTTCTGGAATCTTTTCTACTAGAGGTTTTAGATGTGCATGATGCAGTGCTGCTTCCGGGGTAGGTATTTCAGAGCGATTATTTGGAATCGCATTACACTCGATCAGTGTTGGTAGAGTGAGAACAACATGCCCATCCATGGATTCGACCTGAAAGCCATGTGCTCTTCTTCCTGCTGTCTCAACCACACCAGCACATGTTTTAAGAGAGTAAGGAGAGTTGTGGCCTTTGATGTTGAAAAGGTCAAAGAACTCAGACTTCACTAATGAGCGATTGCTCTGATCATCCAGTATTGCATATAACCGAATAGCCTTTTCCCGGTGGCCAGCTGGGTAGATTTTCACTAGGCAAATCTTAGCACATGATTTTTCAGTGAGATCTCCTCCACAGACCTGTGTACAGCTTGAGGAAACCGTAGCTTCTTCACCATTGTTCTCTTCCTCCCCGCCATGCTGGCGTGCAGGGGTTTGGGCCTCTGAGGACCAAGGGGCAGGTCCAGGGTGCAGGACTGAGGTGTGACTCTCACTTCCACATTCAGCGCACTTAATGCTACTGTCACAGTTCTTAGCCAAATGCGTTGATGATGCACAGCATTTGTAACAAATGCCATGTTGCTTTAAAAAGGCTTTCCTATTCTCGATAGACTTCTCCCTAAATCCTCGGCATTTTTGGAGAGGGTGCGGTTTGTTGTGTAAAGGGCATTGCTTAGTATAATCCCCTTTACTCTTATGTGTTACGTCAGCTGAATTGGAGGTGTAAGGAGACACCTCACTCTTGTGAACTGAGATTGGAGGTCTCTGGCTGCCAAATTTAGGAGCTGACTTTCCCATCACTGGAAGTTCTGTTCTGCCTGGAATGAGGGAGAAGCTAGGATCATTTCTCATTTTGGCTTGCTGGCAAACAAAATCCACAAAATAGCCAAATGGTGGGAAAGGGGCATTGTACACTTCTTTAAACCTAGAGCCGTGAGAGAGCCATTTCTCTTGCATATTGTACGGCAGCTTCTGCACAATGGGGTTGATACCACGGGCTGTATCTAAGTAGGTGAGTCCCGGCAGGTCTCCATCAAGTTTAGCGGCTTCAAGCTCCATTAAGAGGTCGCCTAGCTCTCTTAACTTCCTGTGGTCCTTGTTAGAGAGCTTAGGGAAACTATCCAATCTATTGAACAGTGAATTCTCAATGACCTCTGGTGACCCATAACTCTCATCAAGTCTATCCCAAGCCATTTTAAGCCCTTTTTGTGGATTATGGATATGCACAGCCCTTATTCTTCGGACCTGAGCAGCTGACTCAGTACCAAGCCACTTCAATAGGAGGTCCATCTCTTCACTGCATGTGAGGTTTAAACCCTTTGTAGCATTCCAGAACGATGCCTTCCAAGCCCTGTAACTCTCAGGCTGATCACTGAACTGCAAGAGACCTGAAGACACCAGTTCACGTCTAGCAAAAAACCTAACCAAGTCTGACATGCTCTGACTGTCAGCAGTATTAGCCTGTGTAATATCTACATTCTGGTGGGTATGAGGACGACTCTTCTCATTAAATACCACTGCGTGATCTCTGCAATCCGTATTTCTTTCTGAATTACACACTTCCTGTGTTGCTCTACCTGATAGGTGCGACACGTGAGCATCAGTATGCTCAATTTGGATTTCAGAAAATGAAATATGCTCCTTAGGTTGATAGTTAAGACTAGATTTGCTATTATGAATTTGGCACTGAACAGTAGCTCTGGGAGGATGCTGTGTGACATTGCGTGGTTGACTAAGACCCTCATTTATTGACTGATAGGAAGTGTACTTTGCCATATCCTCCACGTACTGTTTTACACGCTCAGCTGAATCTTGAGTTTGCAGAGCAATTTCGGAGCTCAGGTCCTCCCTTTCTTCTTCTATGGCTGCTTCTAATGCTTCAGCTTTAGCTTCTGCTGCTGCAGCCCTTTTTTCTAGTTGAAGAGTGTCAAGTGAAACCTCCAAGCGTGTCTTCTCTACCTTTACAGATGCCTCTAATCGTGCTTGTTCCATTTTGATTTTGCTTTCCTTTTCTGCAAATGCTACTTCTGCTTTAGCAGCTTGGGCTTCAGCACGTGCTAAGGCTGCAGCGGTGCCGGTGGAGCTATGTGATCGTTTGGACGACGATGAACATGAAGAGTGTGACCTTGTCGTAATGATCTGGACCCTGATGATTTCCTGTCAGACATCTTGGGCAGTATTGTCTTTTTATTCGGTGTGTCGTGGAACTCACTGTTAGATTACTGTGTCCTTGCGTGCCGACCTGTTCATCACAGTTCAGTCCGCCAGAAAACGTTGTTTTACTGTCCTGTCCTCTTCACATGCCTTGCATGAATTGACAGGTAGATAAACTCCATCCCCAATCACCACACGGACAAAGAGGCTCTAGTTCACTTCTTTAGTGCAGTAACTGGCAGTAGGGTAAAACTGACAACAAAGAAAAACATACAGTTACAAACTGTCAATATTAACATTGTGAGTGAGGTTAAACTTATCACAAATTATACAAAATAATACACAAAGTATCCAATTGAGACCCAGATGTACAACAAATGAGAAAACTGTATTTAAATTAACTCCAAACTGTATCTTTAAACATAGAAACAGGCTACTGGTAAGTATATTGCTAAATACAACATATCTCCATGCAAATTCACTCAATTCCAGAGCTAGCTAGAACATGTGCTCAATGAATTTTCTATCTGTGCATTTATCTACTCAATGTCTCTGCTTAGCAACAATTCACATATATATTGATAAATTATAAACTTAAGTATTGCTTTAACATACCGACGGTGCTTTCAAAGACTTGAACGGCTGGATGATGTCCGATAAAACAAAGGCATGAACTTGCCCTCTGCTCTGACATGGAAGACTGGCTAGACACTCACTGATGACATCATCAACTAGAGACTCAGACTACCTGAATTAAACCACTGGTATACAAACTGAACAGCAGGGGGTGCTATTGTGAAAATGAAAGTAACTGGTTGATAAGGCAGCACAGGTTCAGAGGCTTAAATAGCAGCAGAAACAGATGGATGTGATAAGAACTAATGAGCAAAGGGCAGAGCAAAGCAGAGGAGAGCAGCAAGGCAAAATCCCAGCCTAAAGGTGACAAGCTCATTACAGTAGGGGCTACAATTTTCAGACAAAGATTCAAAATTGTAGTTCTTTGTAAGTAATCCACAACACGTGGGACACAATCGTGACAAACAAAATGTGTTGGATATTTTAAACTGGAGATAAGCTAAGGCAACAATGGGACACAGTTAAATCTGGAGGAGAATACATACCCTGGGAATTGAAATATCCAAAATAAAAGAGATATGGTGTGTGCACCATACCCATACCAAGATCGAGGCAAAAAGATCAGAGACGTAGTTCAGGATCAAGTCTTAAAACCTCAATCCCTGTTGAAAACTACGCAGTAACATATGACTCATCACCCTTTTTTCTATAATTGCATATGTTATTGTTAGGGAATGTATCAAAAGGCTATTTTGGGTCAAAATTACTTACGTATTGAAAAAAGTGGGACAGTACCATTATGATTTGTTTTAGTGTGTAAAGCTTATTAGAAGTTTTGCTCTGAAACAAGATAGACGCTTGACTGTTATGACTGGAGTTTGAACGGTGATTGCAATTTGAAGGCACTTCTACATACCAGTGCGGGGTCTATCTCAAATGAGTAGTTCAAGTGAACAAAACATTTGTGCATAAAAAGTGAATCAAATCAATATCACTTGCTGATGTGTTACTTTCTAGTTAGGTAAAATCAGTGCAAGCCAGTCAGGAGGAAACCTTCAGCACTTTGTGTCACACAACAACATTTGTTATTACAAGCAAATGGGTAAAGTAAACCTGAAATACCAAGCTAACAGCTTAGGTTACAGCTAATGGCTAAAGCTAGCTTCATTAAGCTGCCCGATGCATGCAGCTTGAAAAGTTTGTCTGATCTTATTACCAGTTGTAACTGTTAGGGAATAAAAGGTTGTTTACGTTCTTTGAATAACAGACTAATGTTACTAAAACCATGATAATTGCCTATTGTCAATATAGAGAAGCAGAACATGATGCAAAGAACCTGTAAATAACTCACAAAATGCAAATGACACCATGCTTACTGCCAATTCTGAGTGTTATACATAAACTGCCATATCCATCACTACTACATACAGTAGGCTATACAAGATTCCATGATGTTTTACAATTTCATAGGGTCTCTCGTATGGACCTAAAGCCACCATGAATCTAATCCATAGTAACAATACTTAAATTGAAGAAGCTTGCAGAATAAGCAGAGCCTTCCAAGTGCTCCTGATTGGAATTTAAGCAGACCCTCCAATAAAAGGAATGTAAGAAAATTATTTTTGAGCACATCTATCAATTTACAGATTTGAAAGTGTTCACATTGGCATACAAGCTGTGTAATGTAAGTAACATTCTGCTTATCCTACACCAATGCACCCCTTCCAGTGATGTAATTTCATTCTCTACAAGATTCACTATTCCAGCCCTCTTCTTCTGTCACTGCTGCACATAGGAGAACAGAGAGAAAGCCAGTTCTAACAGTGACAGAAAACTGCCCACTCTTCCACCATAAAATTAGAAAAGCTGGTTGTGCTTTTTTATCTTCCAGATTTCCTGGGTTTTATGGCTAAATACTAAAGCACTGCAGGCTGGTCATGCTTAAGCTACTAGAAAAAAAGTTAAGCTTGAGCGTTGGGCAGCAGAGATATGGGCTATAAGCTGACAAGTAATTAAACCAGCATATCTGTAACAACTGTCATCTCTTATTTCTCCTTAGCCTGGATGTAAACCAAAGGAAAGAAAACTGAAAAGGATAGAGTTTAGAAAAAAACCAAGGGTGACAGTGAAAGAGTGAGAGAGTCTTTACATTGCAGGGCAACTGCAGGGTATATCTCCTGCTGAACAGTTTAGCAGTCCTGCGCATTTAGGGGATTGTAGAGGAGATCAAAAGGGTCAGGGATCCTTTTACCAATTAACAGCAGGGAGAGGGACATCAAATAAGGTGTAAATTTCAGCTCTGCACTTTTCAGTGAGACAAGCATGAAATGCATTCTAATGCTCTTTTTGGTTTAGAGAAGGATTTTGAACCCCCAGTGATGTCACAGTGACTCTCCTAAAGACTGGCTTAATCGCTTCTGAGAATTGTGTGCAGCCAACTCGTCTACTATGTATCTGTCAAGGAGAGTGTTGAGTCAGTTATTGATAATGAAAGGACATTATTGCTTTAGATTGACAAAACTGAGCATGATAAAAAAAAAGGCTTGCAGTGAGAGGTTTCGTCCTTCACCTTAGCTTTATTGATAATTCTGCTTGCCCAGTAAATGAGCGATTACCTGGATGATTTTTGTTGGTGAAATGAAGAGTTTCGAAGTGAAGGCATATAATATTTTATTTTTATATTATGTGGTGAGGGCAGCTTTTTCAAATATTCTAGTAATGTGATCATGTTTTAAAGTACGTTACCCAGGGCAAACCATCATGTTTCTGAAGATTACACAAACTCTAAGCTGGTTATTATGTTTTACTTAATCTGCTCAGCCAAAATCTAATTAGACTCTAATCCACATCTCTGTGAAGACTGACTTCAGGGACACACAATTTGAGTAAATTGATCTGAATTAAATGCAGAGAAGGAACAACTACGCAACATCGAACATCCTTCATAGATATAATAGAATTAGTCATAAATGGTGTTTTGCCATTCTCCTTTTTTTGAGCATGATAAAATGGAAACCAATTATCTTAAGCTCCTTTTCATTACCTATTGTGAGTAATTTAACAAGCAACTCCTTGAATATTGTGTACTATCTCCTTTGCTTTATTGTTAACACAAGTTAGGATAAGGTTAAATAAATGTATTTATCAGCTGCTAAGCTGTACTTTTTATTAAAATATGCCCTTGCTGTTTGCATACACATCAACATCATTCAGCTCAAAAAAAAAATAAAACAAATAAAAGCTGGCATCATTATTCATCTTTATCATTATCATCTTACAGTTTTTTTTTTCTGAATGCTTAAACAATAACCGTAATTTTACAGCACAATTTCTAAAACTATTAATACTTATAGCAAAAACCACTCACTGATGTTGCTGAACTAAAAGCACAAACAATGCTTTGCACTCAGTTGTGACAAACTTTTTAAAACCGTAGGTACAATCCACTGCACTCTTTTTGTGGAACTGTAAGCACAAATTATTGCTTTACACTGAACTTGCAGTTTAAAGCAAATTTGCAGTGAATGCAAATGATCCACTCCTGGCAAATCTATACACATATATGGCTATTACTTACACAATTTTGCCAACTGTCTGGCACATTGTCACATGTTAAAACCATTTTGGATAATTAGCTCACTTTGCAATTAGCCTAAGCACAGGTCAGCTGTCTGTGTGAAGTACAATGGATGGAGCAAGAAGAGTCAGAATTAAAGGAAGGAAGAGGACGTGGAGATGAAGAATTAAGACGAAGAGGAGACCAGATACATCATAATATGGGGCATTGTTAGCTTCCATAGGGATGCTGTGGTCCAAAACTGGTTTACAAATCACCCACTCTCCACTGCACTCAACCTTCCACCACATTCTTCATTCTTGAATACGACTGAAGCGGTCTCTGCCTGGCGCTGGAAGGTCAATGACCATCATCCTCTTCAATGCACAGCCCTTTTACAGGCAATGAACGAAGAATGTAGGGATATTGACCACGCATTATGTCAGGCCTGGATACAGCTATCCAGGAGATGTTTTCCCCGGTGCCTTGGACAGGAGGATATTGTATGTGATGTGGAGGAAGTCTCGTGGCTGTACCCAAAGAGATGAAACAAAGTTGACAGATTTTTTTTCCAACTGATTTTGTGTTTGTTTTGATGTTAAGTAAAATCTCCCCTTGTTTTGATAAACACCAATACTTGAAGTTGTGATCGCTATATGTTTACAGAACCTCAAACTGACATTGCCTAACTTTTGCTCAGATAAAGCAAAAGCCAGATGTGTTTTTTTATTCATACCATCTGTGTGAAGTAGGTACTTTGAGTGCTTAATAATGTGATAGCTAGTGTTAACTGTTTGATACAAAAATAAAAGTTTTACGAAGGTTTGAAATGTTGAGCCAGGTTTATTAGCTTTTGCAAGAGAACTACAATTTTTTGCTTTTTTGGTGAAGTTTTTTCCTATTAGGCAAAAA